TATATTGCAATTAATGTGACCTTTATTTTGATGATCCTTGGAAATTACTTCAACGTCCACTTCCTCTCTCATCTGGTCCTTTTATTTTTCCAATATTTAATTTTTCAAAAAGATAAAAATACAAAAATTAAATAAATTGTCTACACACAAAAAAGGTAAAATAAATAGTGTAAAATAGATTTTATTTTTTTAACAGACATTAAAATGGACTTGTGCTAGTAGTTATTGGTGGATACAAATTGATAACTCAATATGGCCAGGTGTGTACAGTTTGGAGCTTTTATTTTAGGGATGGTAACGGAGTTAATGCTGGTCGCCGGCCGCCGGAAAATCTTTCCCGGCGGGGGGCAGATGCCGCAGATGGGCTCCCCCTTTGGCTGTTTTGATACTTTTGCCATGCAATTAATTGTACACACTTTTCAAGAATGATAAAGGGCAAAAACTTTGGCAAGGTCAAAATTAAAATCCCTAAAAGGAAGTCAAAGTTTGCACCTATTTTTGGTCCAACTCTTCACTTGTCCATAGCCTTCTCAATATTGAGATTTTTTGGATTAGTTTTTAATGAAATTATTTTATAAAAATAAATAAATAAATAAAATCCATACCTTGATTAGAGTAATTAATTATGAAATTTTTCAATAATACATACATCATGCATGATATATCATAGGTACTTAAAAGAAATATTTGGTGTAATAAAGATTTGGATGTCCTTTTGGGTAATTAAGATAAGTAGTAGTAATTTGGATGTTCTTGAATAATTGAAAGTTAATGATTCTATATTGAACAATTAGTAGTATTGTTTTGGTTGATTGTAAATGAAAATAAAGGCAAACGTGGAAAAATAAAATGGTAGTAATCAATTTTGGCTCCCATAATGAACCCCAACTTCAAAGACACATATTTAATCATCAAATTGACAATTTCAATTAATTTTGTTCATGTTATTTAACTTTGCTAGGTTTTAAGTCATAAAAACCATTTACACCATAGGCTATATTACATTCTTCAATTAAAAGATGACAATTAAAGATATATATCATGTGTATACTATTAGTACTCTATGTAGTTAATTTAATATCTTCAATTTACCAATTTGGGGTATAATTGTTTTATATTTTACCTCCAAATGTTAAAAGTATGAGGTTTACTTTGGGATTTATTAATACCATGTGAGGGAAAGGATTTCTTTAACCCTGAAATGTGGTCATTTGGGCCTTCTTATGTAGTAAACATTTAATGGGCCTTAGCTGAATCCAACTATTAATGTGACTGTGAGTTCACAAATTCAGAAGCATAATATTACACTACTTGAAGTTGAATACATTATGATCTCAGAAAGCAAATAAAACCAATTTTCAAGATACTTAATATTAAATGAAGTACTTTTTAACTTTCTTAAGAATTTGGAGAATTTTTATTATTTTCAATAACACAAAATTTGAAGAAAAATTTATTTGATAAACCTTTTTTCTGTGATGCCTTACAATTGCTTTGAGAATATGCCAGCCTCTCTCTCTCTCTCTCTCTCTCTCTCTCTCTCTCTCTTTTATTTTATTTTATTTTTTTTAATTTTGAATATTTATAATGAGGTGAATAAGAAAAGGGGCAACTAAAACAGAGTAGATGGAACTTGAAAGCATCTACCAAGCAACAACCTTAACTTTTGTGGCCAACCCTTTCTGTCAAACTATTACACCACTTTCACCTGTCTTTTTTTTTTTAAAAAAAAAAAAGAGCTTCAGCTGAGTTATCTCTGTACACAACTTAAATTTTGAACACTTAAATAACAATAACACAATTTCCTTATTGCTGCAAAAACAGCTGTTTTGGTGCCTTAACTCCATATCAGACAGAAGCACACATGCACAGACTAATGCATTTTTATGACAGATATTCACCTAATAACACACATTTGTCACTTAGCAAGATTATATTTCATTAGTTTGTTTATCAGGCAAAATGGGGCAGTTTTCATAATCAACTCTGTTTTTCTATGATTTACACGAAAATAATCGTCAGTTGCCTTTCGAAGTTAGGCCCATCTAACGTTGTTCCTAAGGTATGTAACAAATGCTGCACTATGCACAAAAAGAAGGAAATAGATGGGGAAAAAAAAAAGAAGGAAAAAGTAACATGTGCACTAGGTATATGTGAAGCTTCTAGAAGGATGGTTGTGTGGGGCTCAATGAGTCTCGACTCAATCGTTTTTTCCGGTATCTCCATGCGACTTGAATTCGTCTAGCTGCAAGCCCTCTCCAGTAAGGAGACTCATATCTGTCACAAATTATGATCATAAGTATCTAATGGTACAAAGTTGCAAAAACCACGAATATTGCAATTCAAATGGTATCGATTTACTCTGCACGAGCATTGAAATTAATTTTTACGTAACTTTTTACCATAAATGTAAATGAAAATTACCTGATGGCCCCTTGAACACGAGGGCTCCTCAAGAATCTCGCGAAAAGACTAGTAACCTCCTCGAGATCCGCAGCTCGAAGTACGAATGCTTCTACATTTGTTAAACATCTTACGAGCCTGTTGCTTAACAATCTGTGTCCTGGTATCCTAATTCTTTTTCCATCTGAAAACAGAAATATATCAAAACAAAAGACGTTTTATAGTAAAATAATTCTAAGAGGTTTTTAGAGCTTTCAGTTTGTATAACCATCATAATCAGAGAGCAACCTGTAACATGGGAAAAGAAAATATCAAACGACTGTTTGACATTTATAGGAGATTTCGCCTTCTTTTTTTTTTTTTTTTTTTTTTATTGTCTTCTTCTGTAACTAAACGGAACCAAAAAGAGAAACGGGATTTTTCTTTTGAAATATTTACCTTTGTTTACTGACGAATGTTCGAGGCACCAAGTGAGGAGTTCTTCCCCACAAACATCTCCTTCAGACAAAGGAAGAACGGTTAAATCCTCCCCAACACTCTCCATTTTTCCTCGGATTATGAAAACCATTTTATCGATAAGTCCCCCACGGTAAATGATTTTGCTCTCTTTGATGTATATTTTTGTTCTCAAGCGTTCGCATATAGCATCTACAATAGGTTCATCCAACACTTGGAAAATTCGGACCTGCAATTAGAATCAAAAGAAGGAAAAAAAAAGAGTTCATAAAAAATGAAAAATGAATGTAGGTTCTTTTTATTTGTTTTCAGCAAGCATTAATCATCCATAATTTTCTAATGTCAACTTTACTTTCTTGACAAATTTAAATAAATGTCGACGTATATCTCTTTGAAGGTCCTCTGGAAGATTTTCCATTAACATTTCCTCGTTCACACCCCTTGTGGCTGCCCAGTTAAAACGTTCTGCTTCTCGAACTTGCCTGCACAAAACGAGCCCCTTAAAGCAATACATACATATAAAAAAATATTTCAAAAATAAATACATAAATAAATCTATAATCTAACAATTTTCTCATGTTGGTACAGAAAAATGGCGGTGTAACCTTCTCAATCCTTCCGGCAAGCGACGATGACTCATCCACTGTTCGACATCACGTCGCCTTAAAGACATTTCTAACCTCCTACGGCACAAAATTTAGTGAATAAATACACTTTATAATATAATCTTTTTCTTTTTCAATCGAGGAAATATAAAGATATTCAAAATTTACTAGCTCAAGCAAAATAGAAAACTCAAAACCAGCTAATATATTCACATAACTACACTAATAAGAAACATTATCAAAGCATTTGAATCAACGCATTACCTACGACCAAGAGATTGGAGAAAATTCTGCATATTTCCAATCAAGAGAGCGAAGAGTAGGAGGCCCACACCAATAATGGCCATTGTGAAAAGAACTTCCCAGACAAAGTAACTTGGGACCTGATTTCCAGCCAGTGTACTAATTTGCTTCATATAACATAAAA